AGAGGGCATGCAGGGTAAAGCCTTCTCCACAGACATTCCACAGTTCACAGAGCAATACAAGTGACCATTAGGCACCATAGCACTTAGGGTGGACATACATAGGAGAAAGCGACTGGAAGGAATTTCAGATGCTGATGACATGGAACCCATCCGCCTAGGCACAGTTGATTTCCCTGAGCCCAGACTTGGTGAATCCCTGTGTTTGAAGACGGCAGGTATACCCTGGATGTGCCACCTTCACAACAGAAATGAAGGGATGTTGGTGTCAGAGCCCCAGCTAGCTGCCATCCACTAGGTTCACGTGACAAGGCGCTTCCCAGCTGACGATTCCTATTCAGGAACACAGTTTAACAAGATTCTGCTGTCTTCAGGGACATAAAGAGGAACCGATCTTTATAAATAACTCCTGATTAAAATGGAGCTGAAAATAGGAAGACAGAACAGGAAGCAAATTGCTAAGCACTTACTGAGTCGATAACATTGGCTTGAAGATCTTAGTGCAAATGGCTGGTCTGGTTTATTTCCTTGTTGTCAAAGGTTAAATGCAGGCTGGAACCTAGAGGCACTAAGGCTGTGTGTGTCCAAGAGCTGTTTTAAGGGGCATGGCTCTCAGCTCCTAGACTCTTGGGGATAAGCTAACACCGGTTTTGATTAGATATCCCTGAAGTCTTTTGAGCTCAGCCAGGTGGTGTGACCAGGACACTCACACTGTTTGTTCCCTGGAAGGAATGGCCTCTGAGCTGTGAGATTCTAGATGGTGCTTCATGGCTGAGTTTCCCCATATGAAACTTGGGCAGCCAAAGGTCTGAATGAGATCCGAATCTGTGCTCTATCCTGTTAAATGAAAGTCTCCCTGTCTCCCTCCCCAGGACCCAAACACAAACCCTAAATCCTTAGGGAGTGGCAGCAGCCATAATGGCAGGGTCAATGAAGATCTCAGGGAGAAGGACAGGAGCTGAGACACCTGGTGTGTGGCCTGGATTTCAGCAGCAATTGCAGGTGCCTGTGTGCACGCGGAGGATGCCGCGGCTGTGCATGCGCAGGAAGGTGAAGATCTCCGAGGGCATAGCATGGAAACCGGGCTTGGGCTTGACGTTGTCATAGTAATGGTGTGTGATGAAGAAGCCTGAGGGGTTCATGGGGAAGGCCCAGAAACCGAACAAGTGCACCTCCTCGCAGAGCTCCAGGGCCGCAGTGACCAGGATGAGGCCGGTGCTGATTCGCCTTGCGCGCACGCCCAGGCTGAGCCAGTAGCGCGACACGCTGCTCAGGTACTGCGGGTGGAAGAAGTAGACTGGCTGCCGAGACTGGAAGTCGTCCAGCATATACTTGACTCGGAAGGACACCAGGGTGTTGCGAACGTTGTAGAAGGCTGGCAGCAGCACCGAGGCATTCTCATACCTCTGCAGCACGCTGTAGAAGGGCCGCCGCCACTTCTCCAACTTGTGGAACCTGCAGGGTGGCAGAGTGAGCAGCAGCAAGCCCTGTGGTCCTGGCAGCCCACCCCCTCCCCATCCCATCCCCCATCCTCAGCCTCACCCTAACACCCCATACCCCGCCCCTCACCTCCTCCCACCTTTGCCCCCTTCTCCTCCCCTACATAAAGCTCACAGGGCCTAGCCTCTGCTCTTCTACCCCCTTCCTTTCCCTATGTGTTTGCTTATTTATTCATGGAGAGGACACACACATGACGCACACGTGACAGAGTGCAAGTGTGGAGGTCAGAGGACAGCCTGCCAGAGTCTGTTCTTTTCTCCGTCCTGGGGGACCCTGGAGATTGAACTCTGGTCAGAATGGGCAGCAAAAGAGCCTTTGCCCACTGAGCCTCCTGCCTCCCAGGAGTGTGGCATTTCTCGGTATTATTTTTTTAATTGGCACAGAAAGAGAGATGATCTGGGCTGAATAATACCAGTGTTGAACTTAAAGGAAGCCAAGGCAGCCAAGGAAGGCACGGAGGCCATGGCTGGGAAGTGAAGTCTTGCTTCACTCCCCTGCTCTCTCTTCCCTAAGACTGGACCCAGCCGCCTGGCATGGCTGGGCCCCTCCTTGGTATCTTGCCTCCTGCCTACATGTGCTTTCCGGTGACCATCCCTCCATCTACAGCCCTCTCTGTCCTCTGAAGGCTCCTGGCTCCTGGCATCTGATATAATTTAGACACTCCTCCCCGTCTCTTGTCTCTCTTACCCACCCTCTAGCCAGGCTGACTATGTGCAGGGGTTTCAACATACTAGCTCTGCAGACCTCTCAGGCAGACCCGAAGAAGGGAGCCAGATGAGAACTGAGATCTTAGCATGAGCACCCCTCCTATACCTGGACACTGCCTGTCCCCCAGTACACCTGATGGGTTCCTGACCACCTCTGGGTAGCAACTGCTTAGACCTGTGCTGCCCCGAAGATATATAATGCAGGCCCCATGTATGGAAATTAACAAGAAATTAGGGAAGTTATTGAATATGTCATGTTTTATCCTAAATATAAAGGTGTTATCACTTTAGCGTATGATCAGTGTAAAAATCAACAAGATGTGTTAAATCCCTTTGTTTGTATCACATCTTTGACACCCAGTGATGAGTTCTGCATGCAGACACCTGGCATGTCTCAATCAGGAGCAACAATGTTCCCAGTGCTTGCAAGTGACCAAAAGACAGCACAGCTTTAGAAATCGGATTACTAACTTGTCAATGATGATGCTGGGATTCACGGTGACTACATCTGTCTTCTCTCCCACATCTGTGGTATACACCCCTGAGATGGGCGGCAGGTTGCACCTGCAGAGAGACAGCCTCACATAGTTAGTCAGTCACCTGCAAGTAACTGGGAGGGAGAGAGGAAGGAAAGGATGTGCTTACTGGTCAGAAAGAGGCAATGAGCACCAGCTGGGCAGGACCTCTGTGGCTGGCTAAGAGACAAAGGTCATTTCTGCTCTGTGTCACAAACAGAACAGCAAAAAAAAAAAAAAAAAAAAAAAATCCATCCTTAGTTCTCACTCAAATTACAACCATGGAGATATTGAAACCATCATCAAAAACAAGTGCTTGAAAGCCGTGGTCATCCCTGGTCCTCTGTAAGGGCATGTAAGCAAGGAGACGCAGGAGCATCCATCCCCTTGTCTGAGGACTCAAGACTTCTCTGAGGAAGTAATGACTGAGCTGAGAGAAGGCATTAGCAAAGGTCAGCTGTTAGAAGAACCAACTCCCTGTGGGATAGTCAGAGACGCCATTTGGAAATGCACTGTTGAGACACAGAGTTGCAGAACTGTATGCAACGTGACCTGGAGAAATTCCCTAAGGTCAGAAGAGTGGGGTCACCAAGGCAACCAAACCCCAACCTCTGAAACTGGGAACGTACACCTTAATTGTCAGAAGGGACACTTAGATTGCACTAAGGATCCTGAGATTGGGGGGAGGGGTGAAATTCTGGATTAATCAGGTGACTCCAGGGACATCCCAAGAGTCTTTAGAAAGAGAATATGGTATGACAAATGTGGGGGTTTGAATGTCATTGGCCCCAGACCCATAGGGAGTGGCACTACTAGGAGGTGTGGCCTTGTTGGAGGAAGAATGCTACTGTGGAGGCAGTTTGAGATCACCTATGTTCAAGCTACACCCAGTATGCCACACAGTTTCTTTCTGTTGCCTTTGAATCAAGATGTAGAACTCTCGGCTCCTCCAGCACCAGGTCTGCCTGCACACTGCCATGCTTCCCACTATGACAATAATAGACTAAACCTCTGAAATGGTAATCCAGCCCCAATTAAATGTTTTCATTTTTAAGAGCTGCGGTGGTTGTGGTGTCTCTTCACAACAATAAAACCCTACAACAACAAGGAAGGCCTATCTATCAGTCTGCTCGTCAGAGTTCTCTAGAAGAGCAGAACTCATAGAATAAATATACGTGTTAGGGTGGTTTACAGGTTGTGGTCCATCTAACCTTGGTGAATGGACCGAAAGGAGAACCCAAAAAACTGTAGGTGTTGGAAAATTTTCCAGACACTTAAAAAAATCCTTAAATTTCTGTTGTTTCTGATACCAAAATCTGTATCATTCCGCTTCATATATTATAGGGGAGTCGTATATAAATATATGGGGTTTATTAGAGTGGCTTACGGGCTATAGTTCAGCTAGTCCAAAAATGGCTGTCTATCAGTGAAAGGTCCAAGAATCCAGTAGAAGTTGACTCTACAAGGCTGGGTATCTCATCTGGTTTCAGTATATGCCAGAGTCTCCCAAGAAGTGGGTTCTAATGCCAGTGAAGGGATGGACTTTCCAGCAAGAGGGAGAGCAAGCAGGCAAGGAGGGTGAGCTTCCTTCTCTTGTGTCCTTTCTACAGGCTGACAGGAGAAGGTGTGGCCCAGATTAAAGGTGGATCTTCCTACCTCAAAAAATCCATATTAAAAGTGGTCTGCAGACACCAAACCCTAATACTGGTTTTTTGTTTGTTTGTTTTTGTTTTGTTTTATTTTATTGGATATTTTATTTACATTTCAGATGTTATCCCTTTACCCCATTTCCCCCCTCCCACCTAGGAACCCCCTATCCCATCCCCACTCCTCCTACTTCTATGAGGATGTGCCCCCACCTACCCCTCCACTCCCACCTCCTCACCCTCTAATTCCCTCATACAGGCATCCAGCCTTCATGGGACCAAGGATCTCTTCTCCCACCTATACCTGACAGGACCATCCTCCCTTGCATAAACAGCTGGAGCCATGGATCCCTCCTTAAGTGCTCTAGGCTAGTGGTTTAGACCCTCAAGGCTCTGGTTGGTTGGTATTGTTGCTCTCCTCATGGAGCCGCAAACCCTTTCAACTCCTTCAGTCTTCACTCTAACTCAAATCCTGACACTGTAGCTGTTGCCAAGAGGTGCTTGTTGACAGGAACTCAGTATGGCGGTTCCCTGGGAGGTTCTGCTAGCACCTGACCAATGCATATGGGATGTTCTCAGCCAACCATGAGACTGAGCTAGGGGACCATGGTGGGAGAGCTGGAGGAAGGACTGGAAGAGCAGAGGGAGACTGTAACTCTACAGGAAAAACAATATCCGCCGGCTAACCAGACCACCCACTGCTCCCAGCGACTAGACCACCAACCAAGGAGTGTACAGGGAGGGGTCCATGGCTCCAGATACATAGGGGGCAGAGAATGGCCTTGTCTGACTTCAATGGGAGGGGAGGCCCTTCGTCCTGTAGGGTTTGATGCCCCAGCGTAGGAGAAACTGGAGCAGTGGAGTGGGAGTGGATAGGAGAGCACCCTCAGAGGGGAGAGGGTGGATGGGATGGGGGAGTTATAGAGGGGTAACTGGGAAGGGGGTAACATTTGAGATGTAAATGAATGGGATGATAATTAATTAAATAAAAGTGAGTCTTCCCACTTCAAACGATTTAACTAAGGGGGAAACCTCCCAGGCATGCCCAGCCACTGGGGTTTTAGTTCATTCTGGATACAGTCAAGTTGACAACAAGGAGAGAGAACTTGTTAAGTGGGTGGAGGCCACATGACAGCAATCCCAGCAGGTGCCCCTCCGGGAGGCTCCCTTACCGGAAGACAAAGTCAGCACTGTTGATCTCCTTCCCGCAGCCACTGTTCTTCAAGATGCCGCCATTGCCCACCACAGCACACTTCTTAAACTGAGAGCGGTAGTAGGGCATTTCCTGGAGAGGAACATGCACGGTGTCACAGCCAGTGCCACCCCATCTTCATCTGAGGCTTCATGTCTGCTCCCCTCACCCCGCAAAAAAAGTCCCCTCTATAAGCTCTATGAGGTAGCTTTTTCTGGAACGTGAAAGAAAGGGGAATTCAACTCACAGTAGAGAAGCGAGGAGTGGGAAGGAGAAGCCTGCTGCATTAGGTGACTCTACCTCCCAGTTCTGACCCCAAGGAGTCTGCAGGACTGCCCTGCCTACCCCCAGCGCCCACCAGCCAACCAATTGCTGAGCATCTCACAGGGAGCTATGCCCACCAGCCAACCAATTGCTAAGCATCTCACAGGAAGCCACCACCGAATTAGGAATTAGGCTCAACCAGGAGCTGTTGTGACCCTCTGTGGAAAGCATCTGTGACCCACTTTCCCTGTGGGGACAGATCCAAAGGACCAGGACAGGGAAAGTACTGGGGTCTCACAGTCAATAGGGGGAGAGACAGACCAAGCCACAGTAGTCTTAGGAAAAAGTCATTGGGGTTTCTGATGTTTTCCACGGGTACTTCCTAAACACGTGCAAACCAAGAACAGTCTGGAAACAACCACCTGATAACCACAGAGTAAGACCCTCTAGGTGGGCAGGAGACTGGAAAGCTGACTTTTTCAAACCCAGAGACACCTCGATGCCAAGGGAAGCTGCTACATGCCACAATTGAGGGGCTGGGAAATTACAGGCTACATCTGGTCTACCACCTGTTTTTGTATGGCCAGCAAGCTGAAAATAACACTTACATTTTTAAGCTGTCTGAAGCCACTCGAAGAAGACGTGTGATGTGTGAAAATTACGTAGGCTTCTGACGTCTGTGCCACTAAGATGAGGCCTCCCTCATTTGTTCACACACAATCGTGGCCATTTTCATGCTGGGACCATGGTGGTGAATAGTAATGGTGCTGGTGACCTGCACGGCTATTTACTATCTGGTCCCTTCCAGAGAAAGGTGTAGAGACCTTGATGTATCTCCTGATCTCAGTAATTCCTGCCCTGGCTTTCCAAGGACCCACAGGCCAGCCCAGGCTACGTGGCATGGTGCTGTGACTTGCTTAAGATACAGGTTTATCTGCCACCTGCCTCACACTCTGGGTCTTGAAAGACCCACCGCAGGTGGCTCAACACTGTCTTTTCCAGCAGTGTGCTGTATCTTCCACTCATTTCTCAAGCCTGAGTCTCACCAAATCACACTGGTATCAGCAATCAGACATTCCAAGGGATTCTGGTTGTATCCTGTTAGCATCTCCCCTGATCCCCTAAAACATGCAGGGCATGCCATAGCTCCCCTTCCAGAACGTTTTCATGAATGTGCCCTTGCCACCCACCTTTCTGCTGAAGCCATGCCATCCCTAATGTCACAGAACCATCGGAACCAGCCAAAAGTACGATTTCTGCATCCCCTTCCCAAAGAGTTCAGATTTTGGATCTGTATCAGCTCTCAGCCTCGTTGGTCTAAATGAGTCATGCATGTGGATATCCTTACTCTGTAACCCATGAGCAGGGAGCTACGATGCTATCCTGACCAGCCCACCTTATACAACATCTCTGATATTGTAGATGTATCACAAGCAACCAAACCTATGCCTGGTCTGAATCCCAGTGTCATAAAGAGATTATGTCTCTAAAGGGAAAAAGGATCACCAAGTGTTACAATAACAACTGGCCAGGCAAGATGTCCCTGCTGGAATAATAGGGGCAAGTCTGTTGTGGAGACAACCAACCATGTTCTGATTGGAACTGAGTCCCGCCGCACAGAAGAGAATTAGCATCTAATCCTACAAACCTGGTCAAAAACCTATGGCTGGGAGGTCCTAGGGCCTAGTTAGGAATCTATAGCTGTTGGTATACTAAATGTACATGATGTGCCCATCAAATGGCCTTTTAAAATAATTAGGTGTATCCCTATAAATAAGTGTTGATGTCAGCTTTGCTCAGAGAAGCTTCTTCTGCAGTGAGCAATGTCTGTAACTGCACGGATAACTAGACAAAGGGCTGAGAATAAGTGACTGTTTATGGCCAATCATAAATGGAACATGCATATCCCCTTCTTCAAGGCTCAGGGAACATTGTGGAAAGGAGAGCAGACATGATGGAGGAGCCATAGGACGGGGTGGAGTTTGGTGGGATGCTGTCTTCTGGTCCTCATCTGGGCAAGGCATGATGGTGGCATGATGGTGGCATTCTTGAATGGACCAGACAACATGCTGTCATGTGGGGATGGACTTATGAGTCCAGCCCTCCCAGAGAATGTATAGGCAGATAGTAGTTGCTAGGTAGGGTGCTCATAGGGGTAGTTGCCCATGCTCCTGTACGTAACCCCATTGAGTTACTAATGGAGAAAGGATGGGAGGGGACTCGTTGGGAAGGGGAAGGGGCATTGGAAAGGAACAAGAGAGGATGGTGGTAGAGGCGTTGGCAGGAATATGATTAAAATACATTCTAGCCATTGGTGAAAATGGCATAATAAAACCAATCACTAAGTTTAACTAATAAATGCTAAGCAAAGACCTTTTTACATAGTGACTCCAAGCACCTATCCGATGTGGCTGACACTCAGGCCTGTCTCTGCCCTGGGCCTGCTTTCTGCTGTCACATGCTTTGTATTACTTTTCTCTTGTGACTGCCTCAGATGAGGGATCAAGGTGTGGTTAATCTCTCTTCTAGGTAGCTCTGGAATGTCCTCGGCACACAATGCCACAGGCAGAATTTTAACCTTTGGGTTTTGGTTTTTTGTTTGTTTGTTTGTTTTGGGTTTGTTTTGTTTTGTTTTGTTTTGTTGCCCCAAATCACACAAACCACAGCTAGATGGTATTGTCATGCTCAGACAGGACTCCTCGGGAAACCCAGTGGATGGGCTACTGGGCTGAAGACCACTGGTTGAACAAGACCAAAGCAGCTGCATGCAGAGTGCAAAGAATGCAGATTTGGGACACTGCCACAGACCACCCACTCCTCCTAGACCATGACAGGGATATACCTTGGGAAACATTTTGAAGATCTCCTGGTCGATGTGATATAAGCCACTGGACTCCACCTCATACCTGAGATTCGTCTCCACTGGGGTGTTCTTCTGGGTGGTGAAGAGAAAGCTGGGGGCATTGCAGCACCTGGACAAGGTGGACCTGCTAGGCATGAAGACAGTGGTGACACTGGGAAGAGTATAGGGGGCTTCCTTTCCATCCCATTCCCACGTTCACTTCCATCTACCCTACAGCATCCTCCTGGTACCTGGGCCCCTCTATCTCTCTAGGACTTCCTACTGGGAAACTCTGGCTGTCAAACCTCCATGATGGCTTTTCTCCTTGAAGGCTATGGCACAGACTAATCATACACTAACCTTCTCAGACTGGAATGAAAGGCTGGATACCCGAGCCTGTACCTCTCTAAACGTCACACAGCATGTGCACATTCAAACACCCCTGTGCCAGCCGAGCCAGTCAGGCCTTGACCGGTGCCCACTCAGCTATGGCGAGACTACTCCCCAGAGCTCCACTGCCCCAGAACCTGTTCTTCTCCCCTCATTCATCCCGTGACCTGAAGCTAGAGCTCTTTGGGGTCTCAAACCTCATGACCAACACTCAACAAAGATTTTTTTATCCCATAAAATCAAGGCCTGTATGGAGACCAAAAGTGCAGGCCGTTTCTGTTATTCTGAAGCTGATTTAGGAAGAAGGCAGGGCCAGACTGGGGACTCTAGTTGGTACTGGCTGCCTTCCTGCAGAAAGTGGAACAAGACTCCTGAAAGAAGTTTCAGGGATTCAGTATAGAAATAAAGGAGGGAGGGAGGAGAGGGAGAGAGGGAGGGTGGGAGGGAGGGAGGAAGAGGAAGGGAAGGAAAGAGGGAGGGAGGCAGAGAAGGAGGGAAGGAAGGAGGGAGGGAAGGAAGCAAGGAGGGAGAGGCAGAAGGAGGGAGAGAGGGAGGGGGAGGGAGAGACGAAGGGAGAGAGGGAAGTTGGTTAGTCAGTCAGTCAGTTAGTTAGTTGGTTAGTCAGTTTAAAGAGTCCTGACATTTTTTGTCTCAAACAACCAAAGCAGGGCTACAGCAGGGTTAGGCTCTTGGGTGATTTTGCCCCCCACACACACCGTTTTGGAAACTTAATGGGTTCTCACTGTGGCCACAGGCACAGGTCATTGCCTCCCTGCCTTAAAACGGAGCACACACAGCTCCAGCCTGGGTCCCTTCAGGGTCCAGGCAGTCCAGGGGGGATGGACCACTTCTTCACAGCACCCTCTCTTCTCTGCCCTGGGCAGATCTCCAGGAGGAGATCTGGAGTACACACAGCTCCAGACCCAGCAGCACCCTTAGGACCCAAGCAGTCCATAGAGTCCTGTGATGAGCACCCAGGTCCTAGAAGAGGTCTGGAATGTTCTCATGAGCTCTGGGATGGAAATAGGAGTTGGTACTTACTATCCAGAAGCCTGGACTCTGTTTTCTACTCTGTGGCCCACAGCACTGGGCCCCAGGCAAGTGTCTTTCCACTCTGGGCCCCAGATTCCTCATGTATAAAAAGCAGAGTTGTATCTTCTGTTTCTGACCCTCCATAATTCTGTGACTCTAGCTTGTCAGAGCCAAAAGGCTAAATGTAAATTTTATATATATATTTTACTGATTCCACATCTTGCTGAGAAGTCTTCACTGGGAAATCAGCTGGCTGCTAGTCATACAGTGGTCTTTCTATGGAGTATGGAGGATTGGACTTTAGAATGTGACTAAGGCTTCTGAAGCAAGGCTGAGGGAGCCACTGAGGTCAGCACTACAAACCAGCATCTGGTCCTTTTAGATTTGCTAGGCAGAAGCAGTCTTATCTGCTGTGGTAGTTTAAATAGATTTGGCCTCCATAGACTCATTTGTTTGAATGCTTGGCCCATGGGGAGTGATACTATTAGGGGGTGTGGCCTTGTTGAAGTAGGTGTGCCTTGTTGGAGAAAGTGTGTCACTGTGGGGGTGAGCTTTGAGGAACTCCGTGCTCAAGCTCAGCCCAGTGTGGAAAGAGAGTTTCCTGCTGGAAGCATTTGGATCAAGATGTAGAACTCTCAGCCCCTCCATCACCATGTCTGCCTGGATGCTGTCATGCTTCCCACCAGAATGACAATGGACTGAACCTCTGAAACGGTATGGCAGCCCTAGTTAAGACATCTGCCAACTAGAGAATGGCCCCACATGACACAAGCTGACATGTGACTAACGTTTAAGCCAGCATGGAGACAGCTGCTGTTACAGGGGCCTCTCCTGTGACAGAAATGCCAGTGTCTCACTCCGGCAATGTACCAAGCTCTTGCCAACCTAGATGGAGGAGCTCTCTGTTTTTCCAGAAGCTTGAAGTGAGAGCAAGGGAGGCAGCTGATGGCCCTGGGGGCTTTCTGCTCAGAACATGGCAGGGCCCAATGTCACTTCCTTTCCCCACTCCCAAACCCATTCCACTTCCCTCAACCACGGAGGCTCTCTGCTCCCCACAGAACCCCCCACCAGGCTCTCTGCCCCACCCCCCCCTCCCCTCCCCTCCCCTCCCCTCCCCTCCCCTCCCACATGGAGCTCTGTGCTCCTCTTGCTGTATCATCTCCAATCATGTCAGCATCATCTTAGATGAGCTCTCTTCTCTGTTCCAACTAAGCCTGGTCTGAGTCCTTGCACACCTCACCGCTCTGTTCATGCTGGTTATCTGCTTCCATGTGTTCAAGCCTCCCCTGCCTGGGGACGTCCAGAGGAAAGAGCATATAGTCCTGCTTCAGAGGGGCTGAGCCTGGATCTGTTCTCATGCTCCGGCACTCTGCCCAGGCCCACTGGAACTTCCAAGATAGGTGGGTCTCCTCTAACCAGGACCTCTAACTAGGATTCTGCAAGGCTCCATGAAGCTTATGGCGCCTGCTCACTGGGGCTCATTATATCAAAGAGTCATGATTCTAAAATTGTGCCGACTCATACCTACTGCTCCCACACACCTGTAACCTCAGCACTTGGGAGTCAGAGGTAGGATTGTGAGTTTGAAACCAGCCTAGGGCACACAGTTAGACCTTGTGCAGAGAGAGAAAAAGAGAAGGAGGAGGAGGAGGAGGAGGAAGAGGAGGAGGAGGAGGAGGACAGGAGAGAGTGGAGGGGAGGGGAGGGGAAGGGAAGGGAAGGAGAAGGAAAAAGGGAAGAGAGGAGAGGAGACTTCCTGATCTGGAACTACCACAAACTGAAAGAAAGTATTGATAAGGAAAATACACAGGCTTGGTGACACCTACTTTCTACCGCCTCCTGTGCAAGACTCCTTTGAGTCAGTGGTTCCTCAGTTCATTTAAACTTGAACCCGAATGGCTGAAACCCAGTGTAGACACAGTTGCCAGGACCACATCAATTTCTTAGTGTAAGGTCTACCTGCCCTGGAGTGATAGATACCACAGGCTGGCAGGAGGCGCAATGGAGAAAACCCCAAAGCACATCATTAACAAAAAAGCATTTTTGGATGCCTCCCATCTCTTTGGCTCCCATAGAAGAGCCTGGAAACTCAGCTACTGTTAACTGTGGTTAGAAAGCAATTAAGAACCATCAATGGCCAGGCCCAGATGTCAGGCAGAAACATGGGACTCCAAGAAGTGGGGTAGAGCCAATGTCCCAGGACAGGGAGGTAGGGACAAAGAGATTGTAAGGGCTAGCCATGGAGGGACCTTAGGCAAGCATCTCACTTCTTGGAGCCTTGGTATTTATCAGCCTAAGCTAGAGATTACAGGCCCAACCAGGTTAGGCTGTAGCAAGGGCCACAGCCAAGAATGGCAGACACCAGCTGACCACGTGCTGACCTGGCCGCTGCTCACATCCCTAAGCCCCTAAGTTCCAGCTCCATGCAGATGCCCACTGAGAACTAGGTGTGACAGGATAATGGGCATCTGAAGAGGTGGCAGTGGGGAACCACGAGGAAGGAGGGCAGACAACGACAACAACAACAACAAGACATACTTGAAGAGGTTGGCTTCCGTGACGTCCATTGCCCATTTGCATATCTGGAGGCTCTTCCACCTTTCGAACAGTTCGGACTGCTTCACCCTGTGGGAGCAGTGAACAGGGTGGAGGAGGAGGTCAGGCTGCACCCACACAGTTGCTGAAAAACCACCTTCAGTCCGTATCTGCACATCTCAACTACTTTCACCTCAAGCAAGTCTACTTTCCCACGTGCTCCCCCTCAAAGGCTCACACCATTCTCTCAGAAACCACAGTCTGTAAAGGAAACAAGACCACTTCCGTGTCAGAATGCCTGTCCAGTCCTGCACCGCACAGGGCACTGGGCTCACAACCACGACGCACCCTCCCCAAGTAGGTCAGGAGGAGGAGAAAGACTTAAATTAAGACTCTCTTCTGAACAACTCCAGACCTTATGATGCTGGCTTTAAACATCGCTGCACCAGGATGTTCTCAAGCACGCTCAGGAAAGGGGACAGTGTCTAAGCTGGTGATTCTCCCTTACACCGAAGCCCACAAGAGATGATAACCTTACCAATTACAACTTTGCTGTTACATCAGCCTGAGCTCCTCACTCACTCAGTGCTGATATGCACAGCAAGCATCTGGAAGGGATCTGTTGAGTATCACACCTGACTAATGAGTTCACCGATGAACCAAAGCTCAGATCAAATCCACTTACTGAAGATACTTGGCCATGTGTGAAAATACAGGAGTAATAGACACAACATCTCCCTACTTGCATGGAGATTCCAGGACAACAAGGAAGACGTGTTTCAAAGAAGCACAGACTGCCTTGTCTGGAAGAGGAGGAAACGCAGCACCAAGGACTTGGGAAGTGACTGCCACGTGGTTGGCCGGAAGTTTCTTGAAGAGAGAAGTCTTGCACAAAATCTTGAAATAATGTGTATGTGAGCCACACTGCTATCTGGGGGAAAGTGTAGCTCAGTTAGACTGAGTACAAAGGCCCTTCTGCAGGAGCATGCCTGGTAGTTAAAGGAGCCCCCTCTTCCTGCCTAAAGCAAGCCTTCCTTGCAGCTTTCCCAGATCTCCTGCCCCAGCCCCGCCCCGCTCAGCCCACAGGACATCAGAAAATAGATGCCAGCACACGGCAGCACCCTGGCTAACCCACTGCTCCTCTCCCTTACCTCCATGTAATTCACAACCCCCTAGAGCAGGACTGGCAACTGACTCAAACACGTCAGAGAAATGCAGCACTGCCAATGCTCCAGGCCAGGGGCCCAAAGCTTGACTCTACCCAGGATCCAGACCTTATTCTGGGTGTTTCCCTTACCCTTGTCACATCCTGGGCCAAGGTCAAGGCTAGACATCCAGCTTTGAATCCCGGCTCCATGCCCAACTTACAATGTGACCTGGATAAGTCACTGAATCTCTCAGGACACTCAGCTACTCTGTCTGTGAGATGGTTCTCCCATACTCAGCCCTGCTCACCTCAAAGATTGTTGGAGAGAACAAATGGAGTCACGTGTATAAAAATCCACTACCTATACAGATACAGAACATTTTCACCATAAAACTGAAGGGCTGACCCAGATCATCTCTCCTTTCTCTCACAGCACCACCAACATCTCAGAATAAAAACAAACTGTTCAAACCTGCCAGGATAAAAAAGTGTGACAGGGGCAGCTGTGTCTGTGGAAGCACACACAACAAGCCCACAGAACGAGAAGAGGCTAAGTCAAGGATTACAAAGATTCCCTCCCCCGACCCCCACTTCCCAAAATTCTAAAACCAGGAGCAGTGGACAGAAGCATGGCCCTAAAACTGAGACTCAGTAAATGGCCACGAACCATCAGGGCTGGGGTCAGTACATGCCTGTCCTGCATGAGGTCTTATGGTGGACTCCTCCCGCCTCCTCAGGATGGAAGAGAAAGCAAAGAAACAAAACCATTCAGTCCAATTCACACCCTGAAATTTCCACAACAGGATATTTGACCTCAGATGAAGTGGGGGAATTCAGACCATCCATTCCTTTCTAAAGTCCATGTTAAAGACAAGACCATTTTGCTCCTTCGTCTCAAACATCTTCCGACACAGAGCTAGCAGCTTCTAACTGTTCTCAGTTTGAATATGAACAACCAAGAGTAACTGAATCTCCCTGGACAGGACAGAACAAGATTAACTACCAGGTAAAATGACCACAGAGAAAACTACTGTAAAACAGACATCCTTGATGTTCCAAAGATATCCAGTACGACACCACTGCCTTAGGCAAGGATGCTCTAAGGACAAAGCTCTGGAGAGAGTGCCTTAGAAGGACTGGAAGATGACATTGAAGGATTTTATCAGGATAGAGAAGCAAAAGACAAAAGAAAAATGACAGAACTAAAAGATGTGCAGACCCTATCTCCAAAAAATACTGGTGGGGAAGCAATTAAAGAAGACACCCGACATCCATAGCCACGCTCAGAGAGAGAGGGGGAGAGGAGGGGGGAGGAAGAAAGAGAAGGTGGAGAGAGATCATTTATGAAGGGACCCAAACCCTTCCCTCTCAGCCACTGCTTCCTAGGACTTAACTTGAGAACAGACAGAAGGAAGGAGAAACGCAAATCAGCTCTGGGTTCTAACCAGAAGTGGTTCTAACCTTAAAGAGCAGAGGTAATGCCAACAGCTTTTGTGGCAGAGTCTAGAGACACTGTAGTTGATAGGAAAAAAAAAACAGTTTACTGAAGTAGCCCATCCATAAAAGACCTAGAACTAAGCAGTGTATTGATTAGTTTGTTTTCTAATATTAAGACAAAACTCCTGAGGCTGGGCACTTACAAAGGAAAAGGTCTGTTTACTTCAGAGTTTAGAAACTGAAAGTTCCAAGATCAGATGGCACCATTACATCACCCTCTGGCAAGGGTGTCAGAAGCTGCCATGGGGCATGGCAGAAAGCTGAAGAGAGTTAGGAGTCAGGTTTAATCGCTTATAGCAACCTATTCCCACCCTGAACTCCATGTGTGCGTCCATGCATGTGTGTGTATGTGCACACATGAGGGAATATGCCTGCTTAAGTGTGTATGTGTGTAGTGTAGTATATTGGAGCATGCATGCTTGAGTGTATGTAGTGTAGTGTAGTGTAGTGTAGTGTAGTGTAGTGTAGTGTAGTG